TCCCACCAGAGAAGATTATGTCTCAAATTTAGGCAACTTTCTCCTCGAAAAAAACAATCTTCATCACAAACACACACACACACATCACCCATAACCCCAGGCATTTTATCAGTAAAAATGAGTCATTTTGTGGGGAGAGCTGGCTGCTAGTCAAAATCGATAGACAGTAATTTATGTCCATGTTTACAGTCCCCAATATCGGTCATGAGATAAGAAGATCAAGAACAAAGACTGACTGACTCAACCAACAACCAATCACAGCACACTTTCTTTGCATAGGCGGACACAGTGAGCAGATGGACAGACAAACTGACCTTGAAGAAACAGCCAGAAAGAGATGAAAGATTAACTAACGTTCAGTGAGAAACAACTACCAATCAGAAGACTGTGTTTGTCTCCTAACAATAATCTATAATAATGTCCATGATAATCTATAAATACGCGTTGATTTCCTTAATAAACGATCTGTTGACTGGCCCATGTCTTTCTGTTGATACAATTTCACTATCGATACACTCCAGTGGTGGCGTCTAAACTGCCTTGTCTATTCCTTGGCCCAAACATTATAGTGTGGCCAAAAATTAAAACCAGAAGGTATATATGCCAAGCAATGCTTGGCGGAAAAATCAAACAGAACTGAGGACCATCAGTGGAGCGAGCAGAGGAGGGACTGACTAACTACTTAATATTTGCGTTGAAAATCCGAACCTTGTTCTTTATAGTGACTGCAATGGATTTCCATACAGATTTCAGAGTGATCAAGCTGAGATACGATAAGACCATTCTATCATATATTTAACACTTTGTAGTGGTTCACACTTCTGAAATGCTGATAATCGATGGCTACTCCAGTCAACTTCTTGGCAATAGACAGCGACATGCATTTTTTTGACAGCTCGAGAATTAAACCCTGGTGGGTGCGTACTGATGAAGAGTCCCAAACTAGGACGAAACAGTTGTCCAGTAGTCCCAGCTTGTTTTCCAATGGTTCTCTAACCAATGTCAGCTCATGATGAAATCCTGTAACCAATCAACCAAATCCCTACAAACCAATATTTGAATCTAACATTAGTCAGAACCCTCAACAACAAAAAAATAATAAGGGTTGTACAGATCTAAATTATGAACTTTTAAAAAGGTGCTTTTGCTCCTATCATCGACAAGCCTGTTCAGCTTCTTGTCAAGATGCTATCCATTGGGCCCTAAAGAAATTCGTGAGACATCTTACAGGTCAGCTTATCCTACGGGTTCTAATTTTCCAGATCTTTGAATTCACTCCTCACTTAAAAATATCACTTACCTAGCTCACAATAATCTTTTTATTTACGCACTATTATACTCTACTTTACGTTAACTACCTAGGCCATTATTAAAGCTAAAACTTGCTCTTTGTGCATATTTGTTGCTTTCCCAAAGTCTGGTTGCTTTGATTAAAAACACAACAACAACACCAATGTTTGAACAAAGATATATCTTCATCGAAAACATCATAGTTTCCATGCTTAGACCAATATGGTTAGCATTACACATTGCAAATGTATATACTATCATTTCAAGTACTATATAGCTTCTTCTTCTTGTATTTATCTTGCAAATATACTTCCAATAATGTATTATTCATAATTGCATTGTATACCATTGATATAAGAATAAAACTTGTGCACTGTGGTAGAGTGTAATTCCATTATGGGTAAATTTTGTTTTGATTAAGTCTCACAGTGTTGTTATACAGTAATGTTTACTGATGACGTTTCGAGCACAATTTATTGCTCATATCATATCCTAAATTCATTTATATAGTTCCGTTGTTTTTCACTTGATTTGATTGGTAGTAATATTTTCCATATTTCGGGTATGAGTGATGAATCATTCCTATTGCATGTGCTGGGTGAAGATTCAATGAACAAGGATTCAGTAATCAACCTCTCTCCATTCCCACCTACCTAGATTACTTTTTAGAATTTTAACCCTCTCCCACCATGCTATTGTGCGGCTGTGTGTTAATGCACGCATGCTCGGGGTCAACCATTCTTATCTTGGCTAAATTCTTATGTTCTGACAATCTGATTACCCACGACCTACTAGATTGACCTATGTAGTTGACCTCACAGTCATTGCAGGGTATTTTGTAAATGATATTATTTTGTCTAATTGGGTCAACTGGGTCCTTTAACCTACAGAGATTGTCCCTGAGTGAGTTTTTAGGTTTAATACCTTGATATGATTATGAGCAATAAATTGTGCTCGAAACGTCATCAGTAAACATTACTGTATAACAACACTGTGAGACTTAATCAAAACAAAATTTACCCATGATGGAATTGCATTTTATACCATTTTGCAGTTGCGCAGAATTTTCTTCTCTTCCTGAAATAGCGTTCAATCACCTGGGGGCATAAAAATCACCCAGACAGATATACGCTGTTCACTACTGGTTGACCATAACTATCAGCAGGCAACCCAACGGAAAGAAGTTTGGGTTGTCTCGCTCAACTTTGATGGTGACACCTTAGTAAACGGTTTACAATTTAACATTTATAAGAACCTGTACTGATTGCTTGTACAATAATTGAACAATTTAAACTTTTGAAAAAGTATTAAATTATATGATACTTCAGGATTGTAATTTATAAAATTACTGATCGTGCCTGTAAAAATGGCATGGATTTCTTGTTAACTTACCCGTTTATGCGCAATATATATATGCATTATCATTATTATCATTGTAGAAAGAATCCCCATTTAGACATTTAGGAAACAGAAAGATTGAGCAGCGAAGAAATATTTACTTTTCAATTAGATCCTCCCTCATCTCACTATGGCTCTACTCTAATCAATATACACGTATATACGCATTTTTATTACAATACACAACAAACAATTTACCAATCATCAAGTGGCACTGATATGTTTGTTTGTTAACAATAATTAGTCAGTCAGTGTCAACATGTCAAGCAGGCAAGGGGTGATAATTAACGAAGAAAATCAGTGCACACACACAATTAAAAGGTAGAAATGGTTAGAATAAATTAATTTTACAAGGATAACACGTAATTAAACATGAAATGGTCAGAAAAATAAAACAATTAGGACAATTATAATTTTTAAAGGTTTAGGAGGAGGGGGGGAAGTAGTCCGGTTTATTCATTCATGTAACGATGGCCAAGGTGAGGAAAGTGGCTGTACAAATTTCTTCTGAACACACACACAGGTTTGCCTTCTTCTTCAGGTGGATTCCTATTGCTTCAGCTGTCGTATGTAGAAGACGAACTGGTAGAACAAAATTAAGATTAGTAGGAATGCGATGAATAATTTTAAATGCAGTATTAACGTCAACCTTATGCTCACTAGCATCTACAAGGTGTGCTACAATACAGCTACGAATAGATCTTGTTTGTCTCTTGCTGCTTAACCATGCTGCAGGATGATGTTCGGAAATACGATGATGAACCACTTGCCTTAGACATCGTTACATGAATGTGTAAACCGGACTACTTCGCCCCCCTCCCCCTAAACCTTTAAAAATTATAATTGTCCAAATTATTTTATTTTTCTGACCATTTCATGTTTAATTACGTGTTATCCTTGTAAAATTAATTTATTCTAACCATTTCTACCTTTTAATTGTGTGTGTGCACTGATTTTCTTCGTTAATTATCACCCCTTGCCTGCTTGACATGTTGACACTGACTGACTAATTATTGTTAACAAACAAACATATCAGTGCCACTTGATGATTGGTAAATTGTTTGTTGTGTATTGTAATAAAAATGCGTATATACGTGTATATTGATTAGAGTAGAGCCATAGTGAGATGAGGGAGGATCTAATTGAAAAGTAAATATTTCTTCGCTGCTCAATCTTTCTGTATTATTATTATTATTGTACACCTTCATTTAATTTTTATAAACTTCTTTCGACCTGATTCTATAACAGTGGGCACTTATCGTATCCACTGATGATGTTCCCAGATTAAGTTAGTTCTGAAGTTATTTCTAAATACTGCCATCATGTCATCATCGATGGTCACAAAGATCACGAAGAGGATCACCACCAGCCCATTCGATATAATATTTCTTCACACAACTAAATACCGTAACATTCAGGTTTTATAGTGAGGCATACATAATTGTATCTTATACAATTCATCAGCGTATAGGCAAAAGGAAGCTTCAAAAACAAATTTCATTTCACAAAGATTTTTAGCAGTGTGTGTGTGTGTGTAGAGTATAATCGTTTCTTTTCAAGCATTCCTTTGAAAAGCATGGCATCCTAGTCAACACAGCAGAAAGGGCTGTCATCATCGATAAGACGAATATTTACACTCACATCCTATATCTATCTATCTACCTACCTACCTATCCATGCGAAAATATTCCTTGAAGATTGGATCAAAAAAGCTGGCTGGCATTCAAACCAACCACAAACTCAATTAGAAACAAGCTTAGTCAGTTAAAGGATCAATCCTGTGGATCCAATAAAACAAAACAATTTAGTTTATCTAATACCCTGTCTGCAATGATTGTCAGGTCAAATACATAGGTCAAAGTAGTAGAACGGGGTCAGTGAGTCAGACTTTCCGAACAGCATAAAAACCTAGCAGCAAAATCTAGATTAGTTGACCCGAATAAGATAAGAAATCTAGAGAATAGTTCAGAAGCTATTGCAAGCACTACATGCAATCACACACAACCATAAAATAGGCTGGATGGGATAGGATGACAGCTTTGAAATCTAATGTCACAGGGTGAATAGAGGGAGGGAGAGATTGATAACAGAAGCTTTGTCTATCGAATCAACTGCAAATCAACACGTGTAACAGGAATGATTCAACACCTGTCCAGCCAGATATCTGGAATATTCTACTACCACGCCTACGACGACAAATAGGAGAGGCCAAAGAAAACCATGAAACTCAAGTTTCGAAGTCGTGTGATTATAATTGATGATATGATTATGAAGAGCAATAATGAATTGTGTTCGAAACAACTTTGTCATCCAGTAAATACTAATACTGTTTCACTGACTGACTGTGTGTGATACATCCATCTAATAAACAAACTAATATGGAATTATATTATACGTTCTATTTCAGAGCATAGGTATCAATTTTTTTTCACAACGGTGACAGTTAGTTATATGCGCATTCAACACATTGCTCTTCGTTGATATTCTGCTGTCGCCACACAGTAATCTTCAATTCGGAAGTAACGGCTTTCATTTTGTTTCAGAAACCTGAAAACCAGGAAAACAGAGAGAAGCCCATTAATAAACCTTCATTTATATATATATATATATATATACCAGTGAAATAATTAAAAATGAATCCTTCTAAAAGCCTGTCTGTCTGTTTTCGACATAGAACCACTTTGCACCGATGTGCAGCAGTTCAAGTTGCCACACACTCCCTCCACTCCATGTAGTACACAGAGCAAGAGAAGAAAGTAGAAGAAATGCATAATAGAGAGAGACAGTAAACAGAGGTGTGGTGAGACAAAGGAATAGAAATAACGAAGAACAATAGTTTCATTTGAGCCATATCATCACCAATTGTTTCCAGCCTTCATTGGCTTTTACCGTCCCGAGGAACCCAACCAGTCAGGAAGCCAGTCTACACCTTCCTACGTGGCTGGCTGCCTGGCTTAAACTGACCGTTGTGGATTTCTTCATTGACTGATGAAGCCATGTTTTGGTTTGACCGCCGCTAGCTCACTCTTTCCCAACCTGACCCTATGTCAGCCAGCTAACATTGCCCGTTGTCGAGGAAGGCGATGACCAGGCATGCATGCGTAACACATGTCCTAACTACCTCACTCAGTCGATGCAATTTCACAGCCTCATTGTCGATTGATTTCCCCTCCTCCCTTACCTAGCACTCGACCGACGCCTAACCTCAATATTGCTCAACCTATTATACCACTTCACTCGGGAGATAGAACGCAGGCACCTATGGTCGAAGACAGCTAATCAGCCTTTTCATGTCTTCCACTCTCAACGGCCAGGTCTGGCTCACAGCCAGCCATAAACGAGGACGGAGCGGACTGCTGAGCAGTAATTTTAATAAAAACAAGTACTCAACAATGGGTTCTTTTTGGTTGTGGATTGCATTAGAATCCGAGATATATATATATATTTTATCCTTTATTGAGTCTGTCAACTAGAATATAATTATTTACTAGTAAATTCTACGGTATCAAATGACAGAAATATAAATAATAGGTAAGTGATTCCCATCTTTTAGGAGTAAGCTAACGTTGCAAAAATATTCGACCACCACCTACAACGCGCCCAATAATACCAACAACGGAAGCAGAACTACCTACCAGTGATCATCAACCCCCACCCCCCTCCCCCCCGAGACGAGAACACAAGTCCTCAAGGCAATCAAGATGCTAAAGGCTGGAGCTGGAAAAGCAGCAGGACCAGATGCAATCCCAGCAGAAGTATCGAAAATGAACCCAGAAACAACAACGGATTTGATGACACAACCACTGGAGAAGGTGTGGAAAGAAGGCAAAGTACCCGAGGATTGGAAGAAAGGATACTTATTCAAACTACCAAAGAAAGGAGAACTGGGGTGGCATTATGCTCCTATCCATCCCAGGCAAAATACTAAGCCGCATCATTCTGGAGAGAATCAAACAAGCTCTGGATGAAAACCTCCGACCGGAACAGGCTGGATTCAGGAGAAACAAGTCATGTATTGATGAGATCGCCACATTATGGATCATCATTGAACAAAGCCTGGAATGGCAGTCACCTCTCTCAAAGTCTCAACTTCATCGACTTCGAAAATGCCTTCGATAGCCCAGCGTCGATCGAGAGGTGATTTGGAAACTACTTCGCTACTACCAAGGGGTGTCGCCGACAATTATACATCTCATCCAACAGTTGTACGACAATGCTGCATGCCAAGTAATCCACAACGGGAAACTTGCGGAACCCTTCGAAGTGAGGACAGGAGTAAGACAAGTTGGCTGCCTACTATCGACAATGCTTTTCCTGATTGCAGTGGACTGGTTAATGCGACAGACAGCGGGCAATGAGGAAACAGGCATAAAATGGACTCACACAAAAAGACTTGGAGGATCTGGACTTCGCCGATGATATTTGTCTGATTTCCCACAAACTGGAAGATATGCAAGTGAAAAGCAACAAGTTGGGAGAGGAAGCACCAAAGATAAGACTCCAGTTAAATATAGAGAAAACAGAGGTGATGAAGATTCCTGGGAAACAACACCAAAAACAATAACAACAACAGACAACAATCAGCCAGCATAAATGGGAGGAACCTGAAAGAAACAACCTCCTTCACCTACCTACCTAGCTGGGAAGCATCGTTTCAACTACAGGCCGACGGAACTGACGAGGATATCAAAGCAGCGAGGATCGGGAAAGCAAGACAAGCTTTCATTTCTCTCAAGTCTGTGTGGAAGTCAACAGACAGCACTCAGCATGAAAATGAAAATGAGATCCGGATTTTCAACTCCAATGTGAAGTCAGTCAGTGCTACTTGCAATACGGATCAGAGACTTGGCCAGTGCGTCATAAACAGCACCTCAAACAAACTACAGACCTTTATCAACAGCTAGTTGTCTTCGCTCAATACCACTCAAGATCAGATGGCCGGCCGGCCAGAAAAGATCAGCAACAGATCTCTGGGAGCGAACCAACCAGGAACCGATTGTGAAACAAATAGGCAGGAAGAAATGGAGATGGATTGGTTGGCCATACTCTGAGGAAACCATCAACTGACATCACTAGACAAGCCATTGCTCGAGTGGAACCCGAAAGGGAAGCGGCGAGTTGGTTGTCAGCGTGAGGGTGACTTGGGTGAGGAGGTCATGTGAAGAGGAGATGAAAGCGTGTGGGCAGACTTGGAGCCAGGTGAAAACTCTAGCAGAGAACTGAACGCAATGGAGACGTGCACGGCTGGAGCCCTTCAAAGTAATTTCCGTGTGGTTAAGATATATTACTGAAAAGTGATGAAAAACAAAACTTTTATCCCACTGAGGCCTATAGAAGACAAATCAAAAAGTAAACAATCACCTATTTATCTGTTTTTAAAAAAATATTCACTAGTGAGTCATAGTTAATGTAATACTACCTACTACCTTAGAAATTTGCGGTGGAGAAAAGACTGCACTGTTAGTATTACAATGAATATTTTTATTTACTAATGTGATATACATTCGATTCTAAGATCAACAACCTAAAACCAAGCTTTTTAGGTGACACAAAAAAGTGGCGATTGTTGACAGTCCATACAATTAATGCTATTAGATAGCTGGAGGCAATCGGCCAGAGGAAGCCTCGCTCGACCTAGGTTTCGTGCTAGTTGGCGCTCACCGGTCAGTCAGTCAGCAAGGCATATATGCAACCATCTTGAAGGAACAGCTCATGTCCCTTCTGAGATTTGAACCCGCTCACCCAGTCAGTACTGTAGTCAGAGACGTAACCACTGAGCTATTCGGACTGGCTTGCGATTGACCTCCTGTAGGACGCGAGTTCGAATCTCAGAAGGGACATGAGCTGTTCCTTCAAGGTGGTTGCAGATACGCCTTGCTGACTGACTGACCGGTGAGCGCCAACTAGCACGAAACCTAGGTCGAGCGAGGCTTCCTCTGGCCGATTATTACCTCCAACTATCTAATACCATGAAATCAATGTGTGCACCGTGATGGCGAGCTATCTATTGGCATGGTGGCCACATTGCAAACCTGACTGACTGATAGAATTCAGTCTGCACCAAAGAAAGGACTAGCCAGACACGTCACACACTAGTTGCTGACTGGTGTCAAATCAAAATATACAACTAATGCATTGTACAAGATCGTGAATGTGTAAATGTGAGAAATTTATACGCGTCTAACTCTCCGTTAATTTACAATGCAATAAAAAATATATATATAAAAACACTCACTGCAAAAACTCAGCAACCGAAGCTTCTAGCATAGGGAGACTATGAGCATCGACTCGGACGCATGAAACCATATCTCGGAGTTTAACTATAAACAGTAAAAAAAGTTTCAAAGGACAGACATTTTTAGGTTCAAAAATTCACATGAATTGTTGTATGTATGTTGTATGAGCTTGAAAACTATGTACACACCAGTTATTTGCATGTAGGATTTCATCATGAGCTGACATCAGTTAGAGAACCACTGGAAAACCAACCAGGGAGTAGTGCCAGACAGCTACTTCCCCCGTCCTAGTTTTGGATTGATTGTTCAGCAGTACGCACCCACCCCCACTGACGGGGTTCGAACCCAGGACCTTCTGGTTACAAGGTGAGCTAGCTCGTAGACCAATACTTAATAAACTGATCTGATGCTCACTCACTACCGAATGGCTCTCTCTATTCAGGCAGTTAACCTGGGGTTCCAGTGGGAGGACGTGACCAGTAGGGTACACAGCAAGTCGAAGGTGAAGGCAGTTAGTACTCATCGAAGACATTGTGATAAGTGGTCGCGCTATATGTCGTGCGTGAATTGGCAGAAGTTAGAATTCATGGACTGGCTGGCCATTGGATCGGACCCCAGTGGCTGCTGAATGGTCTACGAGCCAGCTCGCTGCCCTAGTAACCAGAAGAGGTCCTGGATTCGAACCTCGTCGGTGGGTGCATGTTGTTGAAGAGCCACAAACTAGGACGTGGGAAGCAACTGCCCAGTGCTCTCCAGTGGTGCTGTTCAAATGGGGTTCTCTAACCGATATCAGCGGTCATAATGAAATCCTGCAACCAATAAAAAAAGTCCCTACAAAAACCAATACTTTAAAATACTTTTTGCAATAACCGAAAATACCCATTGAGTCATGAAGAAAATAAAAGACAGATTCAGCGAAGAAAATTTTCATCATCGACGTCGATAAGGAAAATTTTCTTCGCTGAATCTGTCTTTTATTTTCTTCATGACTCAATGGGTATTTTCGGTGATTTGAAGCAGAGCAAGAACCCTGTGACAGTGAAGGAACTTGATACGTTTCTTAAGTTCTCTGTCAAAATTGCCATAGCGAATACGAGAATCAGTTTTCTGAAGAGCTGTATTGATAAGAAGGAATATCCCAAGCACTTCTGGAAATGTCTTCGTCGCAATCATATCCACCCAAACCATCGCTCTTTGAAACGTCATAAACTTTTTGCAATACTTGAAAATGTAGGGGGTTTCTTTCAACAGAACAGTCACTCCGTATACTTAGCCATTCTCATAATAACACTTCTATCAACAAACGGTCTATAAACAGTTTACTTGTCACTTATACTTTCTCATACTGAACATTATTTTGATTAAGAAAAAAACTGTCAGCCCATAGGTAAATAATCACAGTTTATTTTTTTCAATTTCTTAGTATCAAGTATTAAAATTGCAGAAAGTACTACTTCCTGAGATGTCTAAATGTCGTGGAAAACACCCATAAGGACATTAGAAAAACGATAGAACACGAAGTTCATCAAAGATGACGATATTTTCGACGATTTCATTTTCAAAAGTAACTGTACAATCGCATTTAAATGCATAGTTTTAAATGGACACAGAGTTACGACGGTGAATAAAAGGTGACAATTATTTTCAACTAGATATGGTTTACAAGGAAAGGCTTAGAAACAAAATTACACAGGATTAGAACGGATAACAAGTGTGTAAAAATGAGCGAGCATGGAAACAAAATTGAAATATTAATAATAATTTTCAACTTGAGATGGGAGTTAGGAGGTGTGAATATAGATTACAAGCCTTAGAAACAAAAATTCTACAGGGTTACAACGAATTACTGGCGTATAGAAAATGAGCATGGAAACACCTCAATTGATTCTTTCAAAGTAATTTACAAAGTCAACAGAAACCTACCAAAAGCAGTATGTTTCCGACTTCCCTGTACTGCAGAAGCCTTCGCAATATGCATCTAGAAGCCGGAGCTGTGTGTTCAAAAGAAATCAGTCCAACATCTACAACTACCATGGACCTAGTTCGGTATGTTCCCTTAGCTTCCATTCTCTTTTTTGATCTTCTTTCGTTCGCTGTGTGTGTGTGTGTGATTCCTACTCCCTCTGTCTTCATTCGATTCACCCCATTTCCGTTTTCAGTTAAAAGAACAGTTATTTTAAGTTTGTTTCCATGCTTTTCGTGTTCACATTTATAATTCGTTTAAAAAATAACTATTTTACAATTATATCTTAATCCTGTGCAATTTTTGTGTTTCTAAGGCTCTTGTAATCTATATTGGCACCTCTTAACTTCCATCTTAAGTTGAAAATTACTATTATTATTATTATTTCAATTTTGTTTCCATGCTCGCTCATTTTTACACACCTTGGTTATCCGTTGTAATCCTGTGTAATTGTGTTTAGGTAACTAAACCAGATTTAGTTGAAAAAAATTATCACATTTTATTCGTCGTCGTAATTATGTATCCGTGTAAAACTATGGATTTAAATGCGATTGTACAGCTACTTTTGAAAATGAAATCGCCGAAAAGATCGTCATCCTTGGTGAACTTCGTGTTCTCTTCTTTTAAAAAAATTCACACCTTATGCAGTGAAACCGAAAAACCACTCAAAATACATAGTTTAGTTGTTTAAATATCATAAGAACGGAACATTAATTCCATATTAGTTCGTTTATTAGATGGATGTATCACACACAGTCAGTCAGTGAAACAGTATTAGTATTTACTGGATGACAAAGTTGTTTCGAACACAATTCATTATTGCTCTTCATAATCATATCATCAATTATAATCACACGACTTCGAAACTTGAGTTTCATGGTTTTCTTTGGCCTCTCCTATTTGTCATCGTCTTTGGGGTAGTAGAATATTCCAGATATCTGGCTGGACAGGTGTTGAATCATTCCTGTTACACGTGTTGATTTGCAGTTGATTCGATAGACAAAGCTTCTGTTATCAATCTCTCCCTCCCTCTATTCACCCTGTGACATTAGATTTCAAAACTGTCATCCTATCCCATCCAGCCTATTTTATGTTTGTGTGTGATTGCATGTAGTGCTTGCAATAGCTTCTGAACTATTCTCTAGATTTCTTATCTTATTCGGGTCAACTAATCTAGATTTTGCTGCTAGGTTTTTATGCTGTTCGGAAAGTCTGACTCACTGACCCCGTTCTACTACTTTGACCTATGTATTTGACCTGACAATCATTGCAGACAGGGTATTAGATAAACTAAATTGTTTTGTTTTATTGGATCCACAGGATTGATCCTTTAACTGACTAAGCTTGTTTCTAATTGAGTTTGTGGTTGGTTTGAATTGCAGCCACTTTTATTCCTGTCTGCCTTGTTAAGAATTCTGCGTTAGGTTGTTTCCGAGGTTCCTTCCTTGTATGGAAATACTACTGATGATTTAGATTCTTTATTGTTGGTGTTGTCTTGAGCATGTTTGACTTGTATGTAGTCATTAATATTATTATTATCACTATTGCTACTATTGTAACAACAGAAGACAAGGGCCAGGCAACAGATCAGTTTTATTACAAAAACCCACAGGTATTTATATGTATTTTACGTACATTAATAAGGCTCTGCCCGCAGAAAGAAGGCGGTCTTCTGATTGGTTGTTTGCAAACAAAGGCAGTCTTCTTCTGCTTTCTCGTTTTCGATATTTCTCGGAAATGCGAGCCACTTGTCTGCGAATCATATTTGTCCACGTCTAGGTCAGCTGTGATTGGTTGTTAAATCAGCCTGGATTAATTTCCACCAATCAGCGTAGATCAATGTCTACCAATTGGCTAGCAGCTTGCTCTCACCACACTATCATTATTTTATTTTTACATTTTCTTACATATTTCTTGACTAATTTATCCGAGTAATTATTAAGTTTCAAGGCTTCTCTTATATGTATCACTTCCTGTCTTAGATTTTACTTGGTACTAATTAATTTTTGTGCTGTCATCTAGACATTTCACCAATCCTATTTTTACTGACATAGGATGGGATGATCGGAAGTCCAAATATCGGTTTGAATGTGCGGGTTTCCTGTAAACACACTAGTGTGTTTAACTTCCAATCTTCTTTCCTTTTTACGCTACAATCTAACATTGGAAGCTCCCCCACTTCCTGACTTCCCAATTCATCATAAGTGAATTGAATTGCCTCCACCTTTGAGTTATAATGTGTTCGAAAAATCTATCTGCATCCTGTGTTCTAAGTACAGTGAATGAGTGTCATCTACATACCTCCACCACACATTTGGGGGGGGGGCAAATACATGTAATAGGAATGATTCAACACCTGTCCAGCTAGATATCTGGAAAATTCTACTACCCCAAAGACGACGACAAATGGGAGAGAACAAAGAAAACTATCAAACTCAAGTTTTGAAGTCGTGTGATTATAATTGGTGATGTGTATGATTATGAACCAAAATAATTAATTGTGTTCGAAACTGTGTCATCCAGTAAATACTAATACTGTTTCACTCACCGTGTGATACATCCATCAAATAAAAAGCTAATATGGAATCACTTACTACCACCACCACAGTGCACAAGTTTTACACATATATCAAAGGGAACATTATACTTACCAAACAACCTCAACAAGTGGATTGAACCATAAATATCTGACATTCTCTTATCTGTATGATGCTTCAATAGCTCAGCATATTGTAGTCGTTCAAATTTGTATAAAAGATGAGAACCAATAGTAAGATTGAAAAAATGCTGAATTCCGGCAACAAATTCACGCCTTACACCCGGGTTTATTGCCAACTTAGTAGTATTTAGCTGAGAGTTCTCAGGTTCAGAAGAAGTGCAGTCTTCTTTTGCTTCACAAGTTGATTCCGACTTAGCGATTTCAGCCTCAGAAGCTTCTAAGAAATCTGATAAAACATTACATATTGGCTGAGAAGCAGGCAGTTCATAAAGCTGAGAAAATTTAACCGAAGAAAAAATAATTCAGAAAGGAAAAACCTCTAGCTTCTTGACACATATAAACTCACTAGTAGAGGAAATAAAATTCGCATCTGAATCGGTAAATAAACAAGGAGAATTAGCTGTGATGTTAGATTGTAAAATAAAACGAATAGAAGAAGGTAAACTGCACACTAGCGTTTTTAAAAAGCTAACGCATTCTGCTAATAGATATTCAGACTTTAATTCATCTCATCTGTCCGTTATCTGTCTGTTAAGGCAGGCTTAGTTAAGTTAAGTGTTTAACAAACCGAGCAATAGCACTAAGTAGCACAAGAAAAGGCCTAAATGATGAAATAAAACAGACAGAAGAAGAGGCGTTGGTGTCAAATAAATTATAAAATTCATTAGGAAGATAGAAAAAGGCCAAGAGCAAAATAAAAATAATTCTGAAACTAGTAATGATAACATAAATAAGAGTGAATATAAGTCATCTACAGCAGTTATGCCATATAGGGAGGGGACATCTGAGATACTCCCCACGTAGGATTCTTTATAAAGCAGGAATTAGAGTAGTGGCATTCAAACCTACAAACTGATTAACTCGGGTAGAACAACGTCTGTAGGCTCTGTAGGACCCTGTCGGTTGACCCAATTAGACAAAATAATATAATTTACAAAATACCCTGCAATGACTGTGAGTTACGTCAACTACTTACATAGGTCAAACTAGTAGGTCGGGAGTAGTCGGATTGTCGGAACATAAGAATTTACCTAAGGTAAGAATGGTGGACCCCACCCGAGAAGATAAGTAATTTAGAAAAAAGCACTCAGCACTACATTGCACTGCATGCATTAACATACAACCACACAATAGCATGGTGGGAGAGGGTTGAAATTCTAAGAAGTAATCTATGTAGGTGGAGAGAGAGATTGATTACTGCATCCTGCCTGGTCCATTGAGTCTACACCCAACAGAACACATACAACAGAAATGACTCAATGCAAATACCAGAGATATGCATGGAAGATATTATTACCGCCAGTCACATAAAAAAAAAACCTTTGTCTCTATAATATGAAGTGAGATTTACACTACAATAGTAGTGAGAAGACAATTTATCACAGAAAAGAACAAAATACGCTGAGGACAATAAGTTTTAACTAGGGGTATTGAGAACTCATTCCACTGAATCAATACGAAAGTAAATCAGGAAGGCTTCGTGTGCTTTTGGAAGTGTGTGTGGGCGGTTGTTACTTTCCGGCTGCCCACACCACTGTGGAAGTTGATTGATTCTTCGGGTACCTGAAACAGAGAGACGTTTAGTTTTGCGTGACCGCAGAGCCCAGGGGACACAACTGATTTCTTGATTTGGTTCCGTATTAGTAAACTTACCGCCGGTTACGGACCACCGTAGGTCGGGTAAGTTGGGATGTACAATTTTTGGGGTCAATCTTTTTTAACCCCCTCTCTCCAGAGTGGAGAGACAGCATAGGTGGCTGCCTTGCTGGTCATCTGAAGGAAACACCTCACTGCTGTTACACCCCTGTTCCCCACCAGTACGACTTCGCCCAAAGACCTCCAGCAAACTGAAAGAAAAATTCACGCAGGAATGACAATTTACCAATATTGATGTTACCTGGACAAAGAGTGTGCATTGTAGTGATGCTCATAACCCTTTTTATACACAAAGGCATTTGATACGGAACCATGACATCACGTTCCTCAAAGACTTAGGGTGCAAGGTATGTTTCATAAAGTGGAAGCAACAGGTGAGTATTTTTTTTGCTGCAGTTGTCTATGTTCCCCTTTTTGTTCCATTTCTAAAAGAGCCACTCTCACCATGTTACACGTTTTAAGAAAGCAGAGAATGGTAAAGTTAACAGAACACAGACGTGATAAAAAAGAAAGAAAGAAACAGTAGTAACTTCGATCATAGGTGCCTGCGTTCTATCTCCCGAGTGAAGTGGTATAATAAGGTGAGCAATATTGAGGTTAGGCGTCGGTCGAGTGCTAGGTAAGGGAGGAGGGGAAATCAATCGACAATGAGGCTGTGAAATTGCATCGACTGAGTGAGGTAGTTAGGACATGTGTTACGCATGCATGCCTGGTCATCGCCTTCCTCGACAATGGGCAATGTTAGCTGGCTGACATAGGGTCAGGTTGGGAAAGAGTGAGCTAGCGGCGGTCAAACCAAAACATGGCTTCATCAGTCAATGAAGAAATCCACAACGGTCAGTTTAAGCCAGGCAGCCAGCCACGTAGGAAGGTGTAGACTGGCTTCCTGACTGGTTGGGTTCCTCGGGACGGTAAAAGCCAATGAAGGCTGGAAACAATTGGTGATATGGCCGGCTCAAAATCGTTCTCAATGCCTGGCGCAGACAGATGCATCCACTCCTTGTGACTTATGATTTCCAATGAAACTACATTGTTCTTCGTTATTAATATTCCTTTGTCTCACCACACCTCTGTTTACTGTCTCTCTCTCTATTATGCATTTCTTCTACTTTCTTCTCTTGCTCTGTGTACTACATGGAGTGGAGGGAGTGTGTGGCAACTTGCACTGCTGCACATCGGTGCAAAGTGGTTCTATGTCGAAAACAGACAGACAGACAGACAGATTATTTGACTGTATAGTTAGGTGACAGCCAGAAATAAATTCCAGAAAGATATGATTGTGATGGTCAAACGTCCATTGATTAAATATATCTACAAAAACAATTTTAACATACTTGCACAGAGTTCATTTTGAACAAAATTCAATCAATCGATCAATATATGCACACAGTAATAACATATATATATATATATATATATATATATATATGTAATATTAAACACTATTCCGAACAATAGTGATCATACACAATGGAAACTTTTCAGCATTATGCATTCAGGTGAAAGAGAGAGATGAAAATATCTAGTTACCAGGCAGGGCAAAGAAAGACTGATAACCGCGTCTTTCTGAACGCATAAATCAGGTTTCAGGTGCCTGATGGAAATGGCTTCAGCAAACTTGTGGAGAATTGAGCTCTTTTGTCTATTGATAATTTTGAACGACTTTTCGACGTCCACCTCATGACTGACCCATGTCAAGGAGATGTCTGTCGATAGCACTGTTTGAAGCATTTGTTCCCAGCTGTAGACATAAGCTTTTTGGTACATGTTCAAAAAATCGTAGATATGCCCTTCTTCTTTCTGTCCTTCTAATGTAACTGCTCCCGCAGATACATGTAAATTTGTATATACAGTTGGAGTTGTTAATATGAGAAGGATATCTATCGATTTTTGATTCCACCAAAGAGCAAGTTGTTCGATAGACGAGGACGAGATTAGCTGCAGGATAGGCTCTGGCTAGTGATGTGCTCAGCCTTCTGTTGATCATCGCTGCAATCTTTTCACCTTTATAATCAAGCTGAAGCCATTTCCATCAACCACCTGAAACCTGACTTGTACTTTCAGAAAGAAGCGGTTATCAGTCTTTCTTTGTCCCGGTAACTGGATATTTTTTATCCGAATGCGAGATGCTGAAAAGTTTTCATTGTGTATGATTATTATTGTTCGGAATTGTGTTTGATATTCCACATACACATGTATATATTATTACTGTATGCATAGATTGATCGATTGATTGCTTTTCGTTTAAAATGAACTCTGTGCAAGTATGTTAAAATTGTTTTTGTATATATATATTTAATTAATGTTTTTGGCCTGTAAGCAGTTGACGAGAAGGCGACGAAATAAACAATGATGGTACCACTCACTTTATTCTGCAGAAACCACTGTAGTTCTTGCTTTGTTCAAATAATAACACATAATAATGGAATTTCGATACATCGTTGAATTCTCTGAACGATGAAAGGGAGGGTCGCAATGCACTGTCGACTAAGGTTCATTGAGATTTTCAACCCGTCAAGATTCAACGGTGGCTAGCCAACCAACACTCAAGATGAGAACATTCCTGATCACCCGGAACCAAGGTGAGCCTAGATACATACTGTAACATCTAAATGACTAAATTGATCACTAAATTAACAAATTTCGACCAACGCTCAAAAATTGCAAATTGCTTTGCTGACTGGATGATATAACGCAACTGAAGATTACTTACCCGAGCTTGACGAGTAATCAAATCCCAATCATCTATAAGCCAAGATTTCAAAGATGGAGGCAGTGACATCGACAAACGAGGCTGAGAGAGAAGGCCATCTTTCTGATATATGAAAAACAGTGAAAAATATAACGGCAAAGTTGAGAGTATGAATATATACATATAAAAAAAAATAATGCTTTCACTCCTAACATCTACAAGCCTGCTCAGTTTCTTGTCAAGATCCTATCCCATGGGCCATACACAAGTTCTCCAGACATCTTCCAGGTCACCATATCCAACAGGTTCTAATCCTTCTAGCCACTTCTATCTGAAATGTCACTTATATACTTCACGACAATCCTTCTATCTAATTACTAGTGTACTCTATTTTATTTCAACTTCCTAGGCCTTTAGTAAAGCTGAAATTTACTCTTTTTTTGCTTTTTTCTCATTCACACTCTTCTCTCGCATAAAGTTCGGTTGCTCTGATGATAAAAAAACATAACAACAACACTCATGTTTCAGAATAACTATATTTTCATAGAAAAAGTCATAGTTTTCTATGGTAAGACCAATATGGTTAGCATCATACATTGCAAGTGTGCACTATCATATCAAGTACTGTATAGCTTATTCTTGTATTTTTCTTGTAAATATACTTCCAATAATGTATTATTCATGATTGCATTTTATACCACTTTGTAGCTGTGCAGGATTTTCTCCTCTTCCTGAAATAGCGTTCAAGCACGTGGGGTCAGAGTACTCACTCGAATATATGTTGTTTATCGATGAGCCATTACTATCATCATCAGGAAATGGAACGAAGTTTGGGTTGTCTCGCTCAACTTCGATGGAGACCTTCGTGAAAGATTTACAAATTAACAACTATAAGAATCTGTTCCGATTGCTTGTACTATATAATTCAACAATTTGAACTTTTTTAAAAAGTGATAATGTATGCTAATTCACAATTGTAATTCGTAACATAATTGATCGTGCCTGTAAAAATGACACGCATTTCATGTCAACTTAACCGTTTATACGATATATATATATATATGTATTATTATTATGATAATATAAATACAACCTATTAAATTAAGCATAGGGACATTTAACGTACAAGTAAACAGGAACATATTTACATCCTGAAAGAGGTGAACAAGCAGTAGTTAGAATCTAACTACCAACCAGCCTGTAAGTCTGACCTGCATTATAGCAAAAGTATCAGAAACAATAAAAGAAGCATTAAAGGTAGGAGAGACTTCAGGTGAACATAGAGAAAACAGAGGTGATGAAGATTCCTGGGAAACAACACCAAAAACAATAACAACAACAGACAACAATCAGCCAGCATAAATGGGAGGAACCTGAAAGAAACAACCTCCTTCACCTACCTACCTAGCTGGGAAGCATCGTTTCAACTACAGGCCAACGGAACTGACGAGGATATCAAAGCAGCGAGGATCGGGAAAGCAAGACAAGCTTTCATTTCTCTCAAGTCTGTGTGGAAGTCAACAGACAGCACTCAGCATGAAAATGAAAATGAGATCCGGATTTTCAACTCCAATGTGAAGTCAGTCAGTGCTACTTGCAATACGGATCAGAGACTTGGCCAGCGCGTCATAAACAGCACCTCAAACAAACTACAGACCTTTATCAACAGCTAGTTGTCTTCGCTCAATACCACTCAAGATCAGATGGCCGGCCGGCCAGAAAAGATCAGCAACAGATCTCTGGGAGCGAACCAACTCAGCAGGAACCGATTGTGAAACAAATAGGCAGGAAGAAATGGAGATGGATTGGTTGGCCATACTCTGAGGAAACCATCAACTGACATCACTAGACAAGCCATTGCTCGAGTGGAACCCGAAAGGGAAGCGGCGAGTTGGTTGTCAGCGTGAGGGTGACTTGGGTGAGGAGGTCATGTGAAGAGGAGATGAAAGCGTGTGGGCAGACTTGGAGCCAGGTGAAAACGTTAGCAGACAACTGAACGCAATGGAGACAAACGGCTGAAGCCCTATGTTCCTCTAGGAATTAAAGGAAACAATAATAATAATCAGAAACAATCATAAGGAGTCAACTCTTAGCTCATATGCAGAAACATGACTTACTGGAGGCGGAACTATATGGGTTCCGGCCAGGACGATCCTGTCGGATAAACCTACTGGTAGCTAGGGAAGATCGCGTCTAAGCCAGGGATAACAACCATCTATTAGATGTTGTCTTCACCGATCTTAGTAAAGCATTTGATAAGGTATCTCATTTAGGTCTCCTCAGTAAACTAAAATGTTTTTTTGATTAAACCAACACGCCTATGTCAGTAGTTTGCGGACTACCTGAGGGATAGAAAGCAGAAGGCAAGAGAGTTAGTGGTATACTGTCCGGGGGGTGGGAAGCAGTACTAACTGGAGTACCTCACGGGGACTGTACTTGGCCTCCTGCTATTCATATTAAGTGAATTACCGAAAATTCTTACGTCTTTATTATTTGCGGACGATACTAAGGGATGTGGAAAGCTGTAAATAATAACGATGGCAGGTTGGCATTACGGAACGATTTGGATAAATTAGCTGGAAATTAATTCCAAGAAAAGTGCGGCAATGCACACCTAGGTCAGAGCTTTTACACATCGGGAAAAGTTAAACTTTAAGCACCACCAACTATCAATGAGCGAATGACCTCGAACGCAGCAATCACGTGAAAGGGGCATTTTTGTGCATGGAATACATACATTTATTACGAAAATAATGCATAAAAACTGTGGAAAAGTGTTTGACAGGATAGCTTCCTCTCACATGTGATAAAAATAGCTCTCAGTTTTAGGTTGGAGTATCAACAATATAAATCCACTGTGAGTAAAATTTATTTTGATAAAGTCTCACAGTATAATACAGTAATATTTACTGAGCAATAAATTGTCCTCGAAACGTGGTCATCAGTAAATGTTACTGTATAACACTGTGAGACTTTATCAGAATAAATTTTACCCACAATGGAATTATAATCTACCACCACAGTGCACAAGTTCTATTCTTATATCAACAGAGTAGTTTAACCACATTCTATCCATGTAATTATTTAGGTCTTCTAACCCAAACAACAACCTTAATCTTTCCTAAACCCAGCCCTAACGTGAAAAAATGCCCAAACTAACCCTAACGACACCTTTGATAGGTTAACCCAACCCTAACTTGTTCTTGGCCTAAACTGTAACCTAATCTTTCCCAAACCTAAGCTGAAACTCGCCAGGTATCACATTTAATAACCTAACACCCCCATTAATGAGCATATGTTTTATTAATGATGACAACATTACTTGCCAGGTTCCGCTAACTTGCTCAGTGAGCGTTTCAAGGTCATTGCTGCGGTTGCACTCCAGTGGCAGTTAGTAGTGCTTAAAGTTTAACTTGGCCACAAATCGTACCCTCTGGGGAACAAAGAACTGCCAGATGTTAAGGGGCGAAACGACTTAGGAATTATTGTAAGCCATGACTTAAAAACAACGGCAAACTGTAATCGAGCCACAGCTAAGACTAGAATGCTGTGAGTACTTTGAAGGGCTTTCAAACGATTAGACGAGTCTTTGTTCTAAGTACCCTATGCAATGTATGTCAGGCCTCAACTGGAATACTGCATACAAGCGGTGATTTCATGCTTCAAAAAGGGGGCACATATCCTAGAAAGAGTACAGAGGGTAGAAACTAAATTAATTAGTGGTACCTCAAACCTTCCTTATGATAAGAGGATGGAGCATTTAAATCTCTTACCATTATCATACCGAAGGAGGAGGAGAAGTGACTTAATTTTGGCATACCGTACATTAAAGGATGATTTAGGAATTCACAATCTTCACCACAAAAGGGTGCTCAGACCTAGGTCGAATAGAAATACATGTACAATTTAATTTAGATTCTCTTACAGAATGGTCAACAATTGCAACTCCTTACCTGATTCAGCAGTAACAGCTCCATCGGTGAACGCTTTCAAAGAGAAATTAGATTTCTGCAGAGATGTATATTTCAAGGATTAACACAGAATACAAGAGCTTTCTATCTTTATTATCTTCATTTGAAACACAGCTTTAGCTCAAAGAAATATTTAGTTTCATGAACAACTTTCTAAGGGGACTTCAAAACCAGAGGACAGTTAAAAAAGTGAATTTGTTCGCAGGAGTGAACATACAGAAAATTAATGAGGACGATCTCATGAAGACTAGTGGTCACAGTGTTAAAATACGTTTCGGTCGGTCGGTTTTCGACATAGAACTTTGCACATATGTGCGGCAGTTCAAGTCGCCACACTCCATGTAGCACACAAAGCAAGAGAAGAAAGTAGGAGAAGTGCATAATATAGACAGTAAACAGAGGTGAGATAAAGGAATAGTAATAACGAAGAACAAAACAGTTTCATCGGAAATCATAAGTCACAAGGAGTGGATGCATCTGCACCACTGAGAACGATTTTGAGCCATGTCACCAATTGTTTCCAACCATTGCTTTTTACCGTCCCGAAGACCCCAACCAGGAAGTCTACACCTTCCTACGTGGCTTAGACTAACTGTTGTGTGTACGTTTCGAATGAGCCAGATATCACAAATATCGACTTAAAATTGTCATTTGATACAACACTGCTACTTTATTATCTCCTCCAGAGAGGAATTTTTTATATCTCACAAAATGAATCACAATACCAAAGTACAAACTATCTCGGAAGAACAAATATAAATTGCATAGAATGAAAAATTGTGTCACAATAAATACGAAATACTGGCATTTTCAAGAGACTTTAGCACTGATGACACTCGGCTTTTCCTTCTCCTACTTGATACTGTGACAGGTTGAGTAGACGGTGTGTATGAATCTTCACAACACTTCCAATATCCAATATCCTGATTACGAGCTAGTATAAACCAGTGATTTCTTTGAGCTCGCTTCTTGATTTTAAGGTAGAGGTTCCAGATCTTCGGTGAACTTATGCGTAGTAAATCCCGCCAATCGACTGCTTTAGCTCTGGTAGACTCCAGGAGGAGTGATGCGAGGATTGGTCAAGATTGTGGTTTGTAGTGTGCAGTATGTTAGGACTCAGCTGCTGCCGTGAATGGAGTTTGACCTAACACCCGTTGGTCATTCGGTATAGTCATAAAAGTAGAGTAATAATAATAATAATGATAATAATAGGTTGTAGTGTAGATAATATAGGTTGAGATAAGTGAAATAATAAAGAAAGAAAGAAAAGATAGAGTAGTCGGTACAGTGGGAGAAGACAGGACGGGTCGTGGGGATTTAGCTTGTATGCTTATCCATTGACAATGTGGTTTCAAATTTTAAGAGGGTAAGCCATTGAGACACAAACCATGCATTTCTGCATGATTGTCCAGCTTCCGCTTAGAAATCTCCACAGATGGAGCTGTAGTTACGGCCGCCGGTAAAGCGTTCCAGAGACGGCAAACTCGAAGCGAGAAGAAATGTGAACGCACTCGAGTCCTTGGTCTCTGGTGTGCTATCCTTAGCGGGTTACCTCGTGGAAGCCTATAATCACTTAATGGCAGGATGCTCTTATCAGGATGGGCCTGGTCATTTAGGATCTTATAGACGGTGATGAGGTCTCCCTTGTGACTACGGTAACTAAGTGTGAAAAGACTTAATTTCTTCAGTCTCTCCTCATATGATTTGTTGCGGAGGCCGATCACCTATTTTGTCGCTCGTCTCTGGACACTTTCTAGCATGTTAGCATCCCTTTTGAGTAGCGGAGGAGCAATGATATTATGCACCTCAAGGAGTGGCCTCACGTATGTCGTATACAACGTTAGGAATAGTTCAGGAGTAAGAGCTCCCAGTTGCCTATGCATAAAGTGTAAAGTGCCGTAAGCTTTGGCGACGTCCCTCGTGTAATTTACACTGGTGTCTAGCTTTTCTGTTAAAATAAGGCCTAGATCGCGTTCTGATGGCACACAACTCAAGTTCTGGCCACCAAGGGTGTAATTTGCACTCTGTGACCTGCCGGAATGAAGTTGGACTACTTTGCACTTCTTTAAGTTGAAAGGCATTCCGTTAGCCAGAGCCCAGTCCCCCAGCGTTTGCAGGTCAGCCTGCAATCTGTCGGAGTCTTCCGATGAGTTTATTGCTCTCCAAATATTTACGTCATCAGCGTAAAGAAGCGCAGAGCAATTCAGTTGACAGGGCAAGTCATTGATAAAAATCAAAAACATCAATGGCCCTAAGATAGAACCCTGAGGAACCCCTGATGCCGAGGTGTGCCAGGATGATCGGATGCGGTTGACTTTGGTGCAGAATTCTCTCTCACCTAATAAATCTTTCAGCCATGCGAGAAGTGCTCCAGAAACACCCGCTTTGCTTATTTTGTGAAGGAGCGGACCATGGTGAACTGTGTCGAATGCTTTCGCAAAGTCGAGAAAGATCACATGGACTGGTACCTTTACATCCCAGGATAGTGTCCAATCGTTCCAGGCTAGTAGAAGATTCGTCACACAGGATCTTCCCTTCCTGAAACCATGCTGTGCTTCATGGAATAGGTTAGTCCCGTCGAAGTATTTTCTCACGTGGTCGTCAATGAGACTTTCCAATATCTTCGATATCACTGGGAGTAGCGCAACTGGTCTGTAACTGGTCGCGTTCTGCCGGTCACCACCCTTGAAGATAGGGGATAGGATGGCTCGTTTCCATTCACATGGAAGTTTCCCTACATCAAAGGAGTGTTGAAACAGATCACTTAGGGGTTGGCAGAGACTTTCTGAACACTGCTTCAGGACGGATGGTCTTATGTCGTCGCAACCTGAAGACTTTCCCGAAGCCAACTTTCCCAATTTTACGAGTACCATAGCCGGGGTAATTTGAAATGTACCCAGCAGGTTTTCGCACGTTGGTCTTGCATTGTAATCTTGATGTTTTGTGAGGGTAAAATCCTCGTTACTGTTCAGTTGCCTGTGAAAGGCTAGACTGAATGTCTCTGCCATTTCAAGACTAGTAAGAGATTTCCCATCAGAACCCACTATATTGCAAGCTCCCTGGTTGGTCGGTTTTCTTTCAGACATAAACCTGTATAGGCTTTTGGGGTTCACGAGAAGCTTATTGGCGAGGTTTCTCTGAAATGTCCTTCTATCACTCCGGACTCGTATGTTACACCGATTCCTGAGTTCGAGGTACTCTTCATGTTCGGGTTGACTCTTCGATATTCGCCACGCAAACCAGGCTTTTCGCTTCGCCTGTAGAAGGCGTTGTGTCCCCCTTTTTAGCCATGAACGTTGCTTTCTAGCTTTAGGTGTGACCAAAGGAACAGTGTCTGAGATCGCCTGGTGAATGATCTCCTTTACCACTCTCCAGTGTTCTTCTACTGTAAGCTCTGTCCAATTTTTTGGCCAATTTGCTTCAGACAAAAGTCTTCGCATTTCGGTGTAATTGGCTTTGTTATAACACAGATAGGGCTGTGCATTGTCCCACTGTAAACGCTCGCGGAGGACTATGTCGAATGTTATGACCGCATGGTCACTACTACCTATGGGAGTCGTGATCTGAACGTTTTCCACTAGTAGCTGGTCACTAGTGAGCACGTAATCCAGTCTAGAAGACTTCCCATCTGGGCCCCATCTAGTATCCATTCTGACATTTTCGGTGAATCCGGCCTCCGTGATGGTATGCAGCAGATTTCGATCAAATCTGTCCTGGGCACATCCCGTCATCAAGTTAAGAGATGGGGCATTGAAGTCTCCAGCTATGACAATTTGATCATAACCCATGTCTTGTGTCGCTGAAATTGCATTCAGCAGTACCTGGTTGTGGTCTGCTCCACATGAAGGTGATCTGTAAATGCTGCCCACTAGATACTTACAGTACCCAACGGTGAAATGGCACCATATGGAGTCAGGGAGCTCAATGAGGGGAGGGTCGATTGCATGGACACATCTGAGCTGTTTGTCGACGTATATGGCGACTCCACCTCCTTCTTTCAGATCCCTATCTCGCCTGACAAGGACCATATCATTTATACTGACTTCGCTGTCTGCCACCGTAGGGGTTAGCCAGGTTTCCGTCAGTATTATGATTTTGGAGTTCAGCTGTGATTGTAGGTATCTAAGTTCAGCTATTTTGCCTCTTAGACCTCTCACATTACTGTACAGGCAACTGGTAGTCAGTCTCACCACGTCCCCGTATTGGGGGGTGGTTGACGTGATGTGGGCTGTCGGTTGAGGAGTTATCCTGCGAACTAGTTGGCCGATTCCCCGGGAACCGGCCTGTTGGAGTTTTTTTCTTCTGATTCAATCGGAGCACTTGGATGGCACTGGCTATCATCGTCCGTGCTGCACCGCTGTATTGTGACTAGGGGTTGGGGATGTTCTATGACAACGTTTTGCTCTCTCCTTTGGGTACGAGGCCGGTTCTCGCAGCAGCGAATGTGTCTGCTGACCTTGTCTTTGGTCTCGTACCATCTCTGGAGAGCAGTAGTCAAGTGGTCTCGGGAGCTAAACTTAACAGCTAACAGACGTGGGGTGTTAATTGACATTAGGTGAGTGGGTCGAGGCAGTCTAAAAATAGAGACAGCCCCTGAACTTCCCAGACCCATCTGGGATGCCAACCATCTCCATTGCTGGACATCGTGACAGTGCTTCTCACAAGCGTTCCCAGTTTCCAGTTCAGGAATGCCGTGAACAACCATGGAGGCAGAAGGAATAAGCTCTGGCGACTCCCTCGCCATCTGTCTTTCCTTCCATGGCCTATCTGGCCTAACACGTATATTGCAGGTCCTCCCTATAGAAAGGACTTGGGAAGTCAATAAAACTTTTTCGGCATCTTCGGCAGAGCCTAGTGTTACCCTCAGTGGGGATGGTTTGCCTTGAGGAGCAGCAGTGCCCTTATACAATCTGCACAGTTTTACTGGCTGGATGTCCAGACCCAGTGTGCTACATAAGTTGGACCACTGTTCCTGATCAAACAGGGCCCTGTTTTCCAGCAGACTACTGCTACAGTCTGGTACATTAAAGAGGATAACGCAGTTTGACCGACTGACCGTGGATTTAGGTTCGGTCCTCGCACATTTGTCATCCCCCTTAAGACTGTTTTGTTTCATCTGGTGCAACTGGGTATTATTATGTGTCGCAGTGCAGTGGCCACTTTTACTGGTGGACGGTAAGGGTCTTTTCCCAGCGACAGGTACCCTTGGTGCTTCAACCTCTGTGTCTGGGGCAGTTATGGCAGGAATTGTAAGTATAACCGGTGTGGATTTTGGTATCCCCGATTTACATGCAATTGTGCTGTTTTCTGAGTTGGTGGGAGTGAAACGTTTCACGTTTTTTCCTGATATCTCTATGACATCTGTAGCTTTCGAGGAACTACACGAGGCTGCATTAGGACGGCAACTTGGGCAAATGTACCAGAACCATGGGCATGGGTTCTTACGCATAAAATCGTAATATACCTTTGGTACTCCGGTGTCACATCTACAATGTACCCATTGCTTACAAAAGTTACATTCGAAAGCAGAATCTGCTTGTTCGACAATAGAATTGCAGACCTTGCAATCGTCTGCCTTCTTGGGGAACGTTTTCGTCGTCTTGCGACGTCGTGAACGTTTCTTATTGGCCTTCCTGTTTGTTTCAAGGCCTACTGTGGATATAGGTGTCATACTATTCACCTGTTTGCTTAGTTTGGCTGAGGCTCTGGTGCATGGTCTCCCATTACTTATCTTGGGATGAGAATCTATAGTCATTTTACTCCTAAAATAACACCGATGATTAAATGATAAGAGAGAGTGGAGTTTTGTCCAAAAGACTGACAGCAAAAGACAGTAGAAAGCACAGAACAGAAAGATAAAGTATATAAGTAAAAGCTTTTGACTTTACCTGTAACTTTCGGGTTATTCGGCTTCACAACAATCACGTAACAGACCAACAAGTCCTGTATATTTGAAAGAGTGAGGGGGATGTTGCTACAGAAGTAGCACCTGAAGCTTGGGCAGTAGTTCGAGACAGTGGGAAGTACCAAACACAGGCTCGGTGAAGAAGAAATGGTTGAATAAAATTCGCTGGATAGGAAGATCAGGTTTCCCAAACGAATTATTCACAAAAGTGGATATTTCCTGTTAGACGGAAAAATGCACGTCGTATTCTTAATGGGTGGTTTAATATCTTCAGTCTCTTTAACACCAGCAGGTACACAAGCATCAGTTTTACGAATGGCTTCTTCATTGGTTTTTATATTCTTGGCCTTGGGAGCATCTTCCTCTATAGCGGCACTTAGTATATAACCGGGTAATATCTCACCTTGTTTCACTTGACCAGGCCTCAATGTCCGCTCGACGTCCTCCAGGACTTCTGGAGGTGGCAATGACTGTGACTTCAAGTCGGACCTTCTCAAAACTTTAACCTTGCCCGATTTTCTGAAAATTACAAGCAGCATCGTGATCAGAAACATTGCAATACACAAGTTACATTTGTCGCTCTAATTCTTTTTGTTTTCTCAAACCCTCTTCATTATACTTGAACATACGTTTCTCTGTCACCCATTCATCCCAGCTATATCAAGACGTAAATTAATACTGAAATATTATTACTTTTTATTCCAACCTTGGTAATGCACAAAATACATTACACCATCTTCTTTCACTTTGACGTCTAGACATTTTGCCTCATACATAAGAGGCCCATGGAAACAAAGTAATTTTTCACCTTAATGCACGTGATTCTATATAAGGAAACAGTAAGCATCTTACCTATTTCATATTTTGGTTTCAAATCCAAGCTACTCATAGTGACGCAAAAAGTCAGTATCCAATATCCAATATCCTGATTACGAGCTAGTATAAACCAGTGATTTCTTTGAGCTCGCTTCTTGATTTTAAGGTAGAGGTTCCAGATCTTCGGTGAACTTATGCGTAGTAAATCCCGCCAATCGACTGCTT